TTTTTTAATGATTACAAACTATTCTTACGAAAATGTAAAAATTAAAAATTGATAAATATTTTCTTTTTTTTTTTAGCCCGATTACACGCTATATATTATTTGACACGATTTCCAAATTCAATATCTCACCCTACGACGAAATTTCCAACCGATGTATACGTTCGAATAGGAATTTTCTAAACAAATATTTTCTGATATATCGGCACGGCGTGTCTAAGCGAAAAAAGAAATCGTCGTCGTACGTATCAATATAATAATATTGCAAACAAACTCGATAATGTTTTTTTTAATATCTACGCACAAATTACCTCGTAATTAAAATAACCTTAAAAATAATCAAAATACTTGTATCGTGACTACAACGTAGATTTTTACCCAGCTGAGGAGGGTTGAGCAGTTTAATGTGTTTGTAAAAAAAACTTGCGATTATCGATATTCGAATATAATAAACTGCTGCATATCAATAATTGACCGCTTTCTAATTGTTTAAATACAAACAAATATGTACACACTAATCCAGACGCATAAACCAGTCGTTTGCGTATGCGTTCGGCGACTTTATTGGTTTCGATCGAATTAAAAATCTGGTTTTTTACGTTTTCGATTCTCCAGTGGTGTCTAAAGTGTAAAATCCAAAATCGTTATGCCTATAGGTTTACGTACGGTTTGTCGCATAGCGAAATAGACTATCGAACGAACAATGGGTTCACCGTAGTCGTTGTACCCGGAAAACCATATTGTTTCTAATGTTTCACCCCGTTATTATTAATAATTCATAAACGGCCTAATCTAAACACGGCGTTTTAAACAGTTTAAGTCGTACAATTATTATAAGCTTTTTTGTCAAATTAAAAGTGCTTCGTAGCGACTTGAGATACGTTAATTTAACAATGCGCGAACAACGAATGGACGTTTGGACCGAGGAAATAAAGTGAAAATGACTACACGAGATAAAAAAAAAAAAAAATAAAATAAAAATACGAAAAATCTACTCGAGACCAACTGGACAACCGACTTTGGGGGTGTTAAAATTACGGGTCGCGGACCCACGGGGATAACGCCTCGACGATATCCTTTACGCGATACCCTGTAATAAGCAAATACACATTTTACTAACGGGTTTTTTGTTTTTTTTTTTATATATATATTTACAGATGTATCATAGTTCTCTATTTTTGTACGTACTGAAGCGAGCCGGTCTAAACAGCACGACTCAAAACTATGTATTGACGAGGTCACCGGTAACTGACGACTCTTCGGAGCAGGTGTCATTAAAAGAAAGGTTTGAAGTCGATAGATAAACGCTTTAAAATAATTTACAAAAAAAGTTATTTTCTAACTGAGACTCAGTAGCTCGTGGTCGACACGAACGCAGTGAACGACACCAGCGCTCGTTACGATCGAAACGTACGGCAGTAGTTTACGGGGCCCGGTGCCGGTGTTTCAAATTTTCTCCGATTTTCAATTTCCAAGCGCGTTTTCTCCGGGCGAAACGACGTTGGGGCACCGGGCGCAGCAACGCGGCCGTCGCCCGCGTCCCCGACCGTGCGGCGCGGGCGCGCCCGCAGATTCCGGCCGTTCGCCGGTCGCCGACCGCCGCCGGTTTCGTTACCGCCGCGGACGACGCGCAGGTAGTGTACGGGCCCCTGCCCCGAAACGCCGCGTAACGTCGTTTCGAATCCTTATTCGCCGGGCCGACAGGTTTCCCAGGACGTTCGTGTTTCTGCGCACCCCGCCATCGGCCGCCGTCCGCGACACCGGCGTCGCGCGCGTACGTACGCACGTACCGCGGCGACTTCCTGGCCGAGCCGCGGTGTCGTCGTCACGCCCGCAGTGGTGTGCGCGGCCGTGCGGCGGGCTATGCCGGCGCCCCCGACATCACTGGCGCGCGTACGCACGCGCACGCGCGTCACCACGTCCACCTGTGTATCGGTTACAACAACCGGCTCGCGACGACCGCAACGTTGCGGTGCAACCGACACCGACGTTCGCCGGTCCGCCGGTCGGCCGGTCGCACTGCGAACCGAAAACTTACGCGCGCACGCACACGCACGCACACACAAACACACACACTCGCGCGCGCGCCGGCACCGAGACACTTTAGATTCGTATTGAAACGAAATAATAATAATCGTAATACCCGCTCGTAATAAATAAAGAGCTTTCACTGCGCCCGCGATTGCGTTTCACAGCGTAACATTATAATATACGTATTATTGTTGTTGTTGTCGTTGTTGATGTTTTTGTTGTTGTTGCCGTACGGCCGGCGACGGTGTCATTGATAGCGCTAAATTACAAGACACCCGATACGGATTCACCGCCACCGTATTATGGTCGGTACGCCCGCCAGTAGTAAACCGTCGCGGGCCCCCGGTGTTTGTACACTGCTTCAATCGGTTTTTTTCTATTTTTTTTTTTTTACGAGGAGTTTCTCTCTTTCTCTCTCTCTTTCTCTCTCTGTTTCGTTTTTACCGTGTCGATTTGACCGCGACACGCCCGTTTCCGTTCGGCGACCGTGTCGCGTCGAACGCGAAATCGGACGGCCCGCGATCGCCCCGATCCGTTTCGGACTTGGAACGTATACGCCGGGAGAACCGTAAAATCGAACAACGAAAATCAATCCGCATCGATTCGTGTAGAGCCGAATATACGGGTGGCGTGACTAGAACTTCTAATGCCGGTCGCCCAAAACATTGTATTGTAGGCCGATAAAAAAAAAAAAAAATGGTCCATTCGGAAAATTCGAAAAAAGGCCTTCACTCGTCCAATAACGTCATGGATCCGCGGCTCGTCGCACGTCATCATGTCGCTGTACGTCACTGGCCGAATACCGCCGGCTCGCTCGCTCATCGCTGCGCTTTGAGATTGTCACAACCCCCCCCCACCCCCAATCCTGAGCACGGGAGTTTCTCTCGGGTAACGGTCGGACAACGGGAAGAGATTTTTGGAAATTCGACTGCTAATTTAAATGGGGACTCGCACGCGGACCCACTCGTTAAAACACGGTAATTGAATTAGCATTGCTCTTAACGCGCGTCGTTTAGCAGTGCTAAATGCATTGATTACGCGCATTTGATTTGTCACGTGTGACGTTCGTCATCGCTCGTCACTGTTTATCTGGACGGGCGAGATAAAGCGAAAAAGGGCGTTCGCTCGAAACATACGAAAAGGCCTTTAAAATCGGTCTAGTGTGTCGATAAAACGCCTGTTATACAATACTGTGCAAATTGTATATTACGAATAGGCAAAATAAAAAAACAACGGAGCAGGAGGGGGGGAGGGTAAATCAACACTTGACCGCGTATAATACCCGGACGTCATGCGTTTGTGTCGGGCACGGATCCAGAACAAAGATCTGAGGGGGCCCAACAGTTTGTTTACAACGCGAATTCAATTAAAATATAATATAATATGTATTATGTTTATTATTTTAACATACGTTACAGTGATTGGAATATAGTTATGTCTATAGAAATATAAAAAAAAAAAAAATAGGAGAAATAATATGTCTGGGGAGGTCTGGGCACCTAGCCCCTCCCCCCCCCTCTTGGATCCGTCCCCGGTTCGGGCGGATTATCTATTTTTCCCACTTAATAAAATCGGCGTGTTTGGACAAGATTCTTAGATAACGCGTTTGAGCGTATTTCGCGCACCAAATACGGATCGCACAATTGAAAAAGCTTTTACTACAAAATGAAAAATGCATTTCGATTGAAAACGTTTAATCGTACTCGCGGGATTGCATGTTTACAAACAGTCCCAGGCCTGTCAAAATGAGAAAGGGAAATTAATTGTTACGAATCGCCCAAACACGTGACGATATTTTAAAATCACTCGCCCAAACGCAATGCATTTTTTTTTTACTAACTCGTCCAAAACGCAAACCGCCCATAATACCCGTGCGTTTGGGACGAGTGCTCGAACGGTGTAACGTTTTATCGCGTTTCAACAAACACTCGACAGTATATTAAAAACAACTGATTGTTTGTTTTCGCAGTGGGTGCGGGCACCGTTTCACCCCGGGAATTTGAGTATATAGACGGACGCCACTGCACGTACAATAACATGTATACACTTGTAACGTGCTGTCATTGACTGATTATTAGTGTTATTATTTTTTTTTTTTCGCGGACAAACGAACTAGACTGAACAACGATAAAAAATTATTGACGCATAATAGGAACATATTGTTACTATCACTATTATTATTGACATGACATTTGATAAGAATTTGAAAGAAAAGAACAATGCTTTGTGTGTTTTGTTTGTGTTTTTTTTAATGATGATATAATATGTTATATTTAATTGGACGTTTTTTGTTTAGACGACTTTACAAAATAAAATACACGATAAGAAATGAAAATACAATTCGAAATATTTATCCGGTGGTGTTTAACTACCGTCGTTTGGAAATTAATAGGCAGTGTATCATATCATTATGATAATCGCGCGCGCGTATATACCGGGTGATTATATCATTGTAAACACCGCCCAATACAGATTTAATTTGTTTTTTTCTTCGCTTATGCCCACAAGGTATTTTATTTACGATATTACACACATATTCGGTAACGCTTCATGTACACGGCTCTTGATTTTCTCGACGTTGCAACAATCCCCGGTTTGATCCGAGGTACCAAAAACGATCGTCGACAAATCTCCGGTTCGTTCGCGGCGTAAATTATTGTTAATAATTATTCCGTATACTCGTTTTTATGGCGGGGAAATAATGTGTCCATTAAAAATACATACGTGTACTACGTTTTCCCTATACCGCAATAATTATTGCTCGAGTACCTATATACCGATACATTCGAATAAATATTTTATAATATAATTATAATCGTAAAGTAAATACGTAAAGTGCACTCGAAATCTGTGTGTGTAATTGTTTATTGACAAACATACAAAAACATAATAATAATACTATTAATTACCGATATTTTGGAACATAATTATTGTCTCGATGAGATATTAAACTAAAATATGTTTTTTTTTTTGGCAACTATTGTAGAATGTAGTCTAAAAAAAAAAATTATACTTACGGTTTTACGCGTTATTTTTTTTTTTTAGAGGTTAGAGCGTAGGGAAGCGCTTTATTGATTTTACTATGATATATCTTTGTATGTTTGTGTGTGTGTTCGTAATGTATAACTTTTCTACCAGAAATCTCGCTCAAATCGAAAACTTTGTAGGAAATTTCTTGTAGCGTATTTATTTTTTTTTTTTTTCGTTTTGGCGCATCGAGTCGTTTTTTTCGGTTTTTCCTCTAGTTTTCTCAACAAACGCGAAAAACCGGTGACTTGTGTTGATTTCCAAATCTCCACGGCAACAAGGGAAAAAATACGGCCAGTAAAAAGTGGTTGGTCAGCGGTAACGGTTCTTTTTTTTTTTCTTCGAGTTAATAAAATAAAGTTAATTTAATTTAACTTTTCACTTAATAGATGAATTTATTTTTGAACTATTAACTGAATACTGTTAACTTGAGGAATACAAAAGAAATAACTTTTAACAAGAGTCCATTATATATTTAAACAAGTTAAGACGAATTCAATTTGTATTCGCATGCTAACACAAATAAATATATTATTATTATAAATTGTTATGAATGCATGTTATTTTTTACTGTTGTCGCCGGTCGGGTTTGCAGGTAGGCTATTATAGTAGGTAATAAAAACAATGTGTATATTTTTTTTTTTTTTTTTTTTTAATTAACTTGACTGGAGTTAAAAATGTAAGTTTAAATTTTGGTAGACTTCCGACTTAGTTGAATTGATAGATTATTTTGAATTGACTTTTAATTATAAACTTTATTTAAATTCAAATTTAGCTTAACTGAGTTGAAAAAAAATCATTAACTTGCCCAGCCAGCCCTGGTTAAAACTGAAATAATTATATGCCGTTGTAATATAATTTAAATTTGAATCGAATTACGCCCCATTGAGTTGAACGTATTATTCATTGACTTCCGAAAACCATATACGAGTTACAGTTTAGCGAAGGCCTTGTATATTATATGTTCCTTAATTATTAAGTTTTTTTTTCGTAATTTTCGCCGGGTAAATCTATGTATATATGTATACGTATATCACAGACGTTATTTTGCGGGTTGCGAGTAGAGAAAAAAAAAAAAAAAAAAAAAAAAACTCAACGCGCAATAAACCGCGCGTACGATATTTTATTATTACTTCGCATGCTCCGCCGAGTATGCCTATAATAATGCGCGTACCTACGTATACCTATACGCGCAAAATATGCTCGTGAAATTTTTTTTGCCTCTCGTCCAATAAAAACTGTAAAGCGCGATAAAAAAAAAAAAAAAAAAACCCGACATAAATACTCCGTTTAAAACAAATAACACATTTTGCGGATCGTTTTACACGGAACGCGTTCATTCATTATACGAGTATAATATAGGTATATATATATGAATTGTGAAACGCGTGTGTATTATGTATTGTAACGTTGAATTTTGTTGAAAAAAATAATAATAATAATAAAAAAATTGTATTACTACTAATGACAATCGTTATTCATTATAATTGGCACCATTACTCAATCAAAGTATTCAGCTGTTAAAAAACGCATTCGATATATGTATACGTGTAGAACCTATAGCCTCGCGTACGCGCAGAAAACGACATGCGCGTTTTATTTTTTTTCGACCGACATAATAATATCGACTTAACTCGTTGTACACGTCGCGAGAATATTTCGTACATAAAAGAAACATCACATTTCGAATTCTTTCGAAACAACTGCGGTTCTAATAAGACAAGAGAAAATATTGTTAAAGAAAATGCGGGCCGTCTATACCGGGGCGGGGAGTGGCAGGAGGGGGGTAGGAAGGAGGAGGGGTGGAAATAGTGGCGGTTTCGCAATATAATAACGACCGCAACGACTGCACCAATTACTCCGTATAGTGTTGGATGCTGCGCAGCGTGGACAAAAACGTAAGATTTTTCGGTGTTGCTGCCCGTTTCGATAATCCGTTTGATCCGTACCGCCCGAACGCCATGAATCATGCGGATTTTTTTTTTTTTCATCTTTTTACTATCATCTTCGTACTATGAAACGAGCAGCTTTATCAATTCTCACGCGAGATACTATATATAAACGTATATGTAGGATATTTAGAGAGATGAAAAAAAAACAGATTACACGAGAATGAGACCTGTCTCTTACACGCGATCTGTTTTGAAAAATCATTTTATTTTTTCTGTAGCGGAAAATAACGGATAAAAAAAAAAATAATACTAATTTTATTCGGTCGGTAAAATACGATTTTCGACGAATCTATTGCAATTTAAAAATCAATGAGTAACTGAGATTTTTAAATTAAAAAAAAAAAAACGTATACAATTATTGGATTCTGAGTAACAAATAAGTTATTAGTTGAACATAAATTTGTTATTTTTTTTCGGAAAACAAATAGGTACGGTTAGTAAAAATTGCTCTGGTTTTTCGATATCAAACTTCAAAGGTGCGGAGATGTTTTGCCCGATTGAACTTATAATTTGTACATTTTACGAAATTCCCAATACTTTTTCCAAAAACATTGTATTTTGTTTTTTTTTTTTTTTTTTTTTTGGTTATGAAAATATTCCAATTTTTTCACACTATAAGTACTTCGAAATATGCATAATATCTGTACGATAGTACTTTATTTGAATCATTTTTTGAAATGTTCAAAAGTTCACCCCATATAGGTCCACTTTTTTTTTTTTTATTGTTTGATTTTTATTGATTTCCGAGTTATCTCGGCAACAAGAAAAAAAAAACACGACTAAGAATCGTTGTAAGGATTTATCGTTGCCTATGCATGCGTATAAATTCAATTACTCCGCATAATATTCAAAACTACCCGCCCACAACTGCAGTTGCCTACCGCGAACAGTATCTATACGTTTTTTTTTTTTTATTAGTATAATATTATACATGCATACAAGTTCTACACACAGATTCACACAAACAGCTGGTACGATTTTTTCTATAATATATCGAACGTAATATTGTATTTGCTGTCGCGAATTGAAAAATTAACAAAATTTTCTCGACAATTGTAACGTCAATATAATAGTGCATGCGTGTATGTGTGTTCGGTACCAGAAACGAAGGGATTAAGAGGATTCCGTATAGTCGTACGTGTAAAAAAAATTAGATTTTGACTCGGCCGTTATTCTAAATGGCTGAACACCCGTATAATTATGTGGAGTACAATGAGGCCTGTTGCCTTTTTCGCGGCCGGACGAAAAGCGCATCGCAGCGACACTCGAGATTATTCACTTTTCGGTACGCGACACCGCGTTGTAACGTCCGGACGGCGAAATAAAAGTGAAACGAATTACGCGCGACGAAATTGCGGAGAGGAAAAAAAAAAAAAAAAAAACGCCGAAAATCGACCCGAGCCATTCTTCTCCGGGACCGAAGTTGTCGTGCACGCGCCGCCGCGTTACATTGTACACTGGGCACTGTCCGCAGTGTGCGTCCGGGCGGCGGCCAAACAGGTGTTCGGGACTTTTACATTTTATTCACCGTAATAATAATAATGACAACAATAATAACGATAACGACGACGACAACAACAACAACAACACCGATACATAAACCGAAACGTATTATTATCGTTTTCTCTCGCGCGGCTCTCGACCCTCGTCTCCGGCGCTATAAACTTTTCCGACGACGGCGTTCGAGAGACGCGGCACGCCGACCGTCTGCGAAACGAAAACGTTTTCGCTCGTTTTTATTGTGCTCGGTTTTACGACTCATAAACGCCCTTAAACATTCATCCTCCACCCCCCTCCACCCCCCCTCCCCGTCACGGCACCGTCCACGAACCCCGTCCCGCGGTTACGTTGTAACACGCGCGCACCTTCCGTCTCGCGGCCCCCGGACAGAACGCTAAACCGTCGGATCGCGCGCTATTCTATACGACGCGCACGCCGACGCGCGGCATATTTTAACACTTGTGATCCGTACGGCTGATTATGTGTTTTTAAAAACCGCCGCCGCCGCCGCGGACGGCCAATCGAGAACGGGCCGCATTGTCTTGTGAGCGCCCGCGCGTTTTTTTTTTTTTTCAAAATACACGCATCTGGTGTGCATAATAATACGCCATCGGTCGCAGTCGTCGTAAAAACGCTTAAACGGGCCGTCATTTCCGGCATTCAACTCGCCTGTACAACATAAACGCCGAGCTTTTGATACGTTTTTCTGTATTATTCATATTTCACGTTTTTCCTTTTTTTTTTTTTTCTTTCTTTTATGTCTCCGACGACACTTTTTAATAGCCCAAAGGCCGTGCAAATTTCGCGCGTTTATGACGCCGAACGTTACGAAAATAAAGAAAATAAAAAAAAAAAATAAATAAATAAAACATCATAACAAATTGCGCGACGCGATGGTCGTCGCGATGATGAGAGGCGAGCTTTTTATAAGAACGAGGATAAAACGGCGCGCGCATATACATACAAACATTTTTTTTTTTTACGCCATCGCAATAACGCTGGTGGCGACACTTTTCGCTGTACCTACCTAACCCGTCCACTTTTTATGACCGTAGTCGAATGGAATTTTTTACGACAGAATATGCGCTTTAACCGCGATACTCGTGGGAGATAGAGGTACCGGCTCCTATATGTTTTTTCCCGACTGAAATTGCAATACTCGAAATTAAAACGAACTCTAACGTTCGTGTCCGTTTAAATTGCATATAACATTGTTTTATCGACACCGTGAAAACTAAACAATTCGGTTACTTAAAATCGAAATGTTTATAAAACCGAAAACAGTTCGCAAACGAACAAAAATAATAGTCGAAATTCAAATGAAATGCTGATATTATACTGCTAATGGGGTGTGCCACTGTTTTAGGGGAAAAGTTGGAAGAGAGGATACACAAATTGATTTAATTTACATCTGTACGCAGCGATAAATCATTTTCGTTGAAAAACGATTCTGAACCGAATATTATTAGAGTCGTATTTTTGCCTTTGTTGTTAATAAGATCATCGAATAATCGACAAAAATGGTTTTCTAATTTATTAAATATTACAAGGAAATTATAAAAAAAAACCTCCAAAATTCACCAACGTATATATATATATACGTTGGTCAAAAATTCTAGAACGTCAATCCTTGCATTAAAAATCTATAAATCCGATTATTACTGTAGACGTTAGAATGCTTAAATATTTTGTTCGCGTCTTCGTAAAATTTACCGAAAACAATATGATCGTACATTTCAGACGTGTCTATAGAATTTTTTCTTCTTTTTCGAATACCTATTGAAAATATTTCGTGGCGTTTGTTCGAAATCGGATCTTTCGTAATTTTTTTTGTCGAACATCCAATTCTCGCCTCTCGCAAATACTTTAGCTTCCCGATAAAAGTGTTTTATTTTAAAACAGCGTTCGAGCTTACCGCCTTTATAGTGAGCTAATACAATGGTGTTGTCACGGGTTTATTAATAAACAAACATTATTAATAACACCGTCCTCGCAAAATAATAATGTTTTCACTTTAAACATTTTGTTTCAACAGTGACGAACTGATATCGTAATTAGCGAATACGCGTTTCAAGAGACAGGAACAGGGCCGTATTTAGAGGGGAGCTACTGGGTGATGTTACCCCGGGCGGCTGAATACGAGAAGGCGGCTAATTTTTTTGTATTTTCAA